TCCCTCAGGAAGGCAGAAAGATGTGGTATAATCTCTACAAGGCCATTTGATAAGAAATATTAAGAAGCTCTAAAAATGAACACGCTCCGAGTGAGAAAAGAGGTGACATTGTCTAAAAAGAATGTACTCTTTACCTGACTTACACAACTATAACCCCTCTGCACATCATCATTATAATAACAATAAGGAACAAAAAGAAAGAAAATGTACAAACTCAACCAGGCACCGTGGCTCATGCCTATAAGCCTAGCTACTCAAGAGGCTGAGATCTGAGGATTGTAGTTGAAAGTCAGTCTGGGAAGAAAAATGCAGAGATTTAATGAACCAGCAAAGAGCCAGAAGTAGAGATGTGGCTCAAGTGGTAGAGTGCTAGACTTAAGCAGAAGGAGCTTAAGGACATTGCCCAGGCTCTGAGTTCAAATCTCAGGACTGGCAAAAAAAAAAAAAGGTCAAAAAAGAGGTTGAACGTGTAGCTTGCCCAAGAAGTGCAATACCCTGAGTTCAATCCTCAGTATTGTCAAAGAAAATAATTTTTTTTTGTTTTTTGTGCCAGTCCTGGGGCTTGAACTCAGGGCCTGAGCACTATCCTTGAGCTCTTTCACTCAAGGCTAACACGCTACCCCTTGAGTCACAGCTCCACTTCCAGCTTTTTTTTTTTTTTTTGGTGGTTAATTAGAGATAAGAGTCATAAGGACTTTATTTCCCAGGCTGGTTTGAACTGCAATCCTCAGAGCTCTGCCCCCTGAGTAGCTAGTATTACAGACATGAGTCACCGGCTCCTGACACCAAAGAAATTTCTTTTTAAAACTTTTCTAACTTTTTTTTTTTTTTTGTCGATCATGGGGTTTGAACTCTGGGCCTGAGCCCTGTCCTTCAACTCTTCAGCTCAAGGCTAGCGCTCTACCACTTGAGCTACAGTGCCACTTCCAGTTTTCTGGGGGTTTATTGGAAATAAGAATTTCATGGACTTTCCTGTCCAGGTTGGCTTTGAACTGCAATCCGCAGATCTCAGCCTCCTGAGAAGCTAGGATTACAGGCGTGAGCCACTGGTGCCAGGCATAAAAAGCCTTTCCAAAGGATGACATTCAAATGCCCTTAGTTGCCTAGCCAGCTAAGAAGAGAATACTCAGGATGGAGCATCTCTAGACCTTCTTTGGCTCAGGGCTGGGTTCTGGGCTTGTTTGTGTCTGTGCAGAGGCAGAGATGCTATGAGGCTTTTCAATGTTTCCAACCATTTAACAATGACTCAGGGCTGGGAAGGTGGCTCAGTGGTAGAATGCTTGCATTGCATGCATGAGGCCCTGGGTTCGATTCCTCAGCATCATATAAGCAGAAAAAGCTAGAAGTGGCACTCTGGCTCAAGTGGTAGAGTGTTAGCCTTGAGCTGCAGGTCCGAGGGACAGCTCCCAGGCCCAGAGTTCAGGCCCCACAACTGACATTAAAAAAAAAAAAAAAATCACTCAACCAGAGCCGCTGATCAGCAGTCTCTCCCAGCAGCATCTGTATTGAACCTTTATTCTAGGCCCTTTGAGTCCCAGCTGGGGTATGTTTGAGCTCAAAGCTTTCTGAGAAAGCAGAGTAACTAGATGATGTCTCTTTCTGGAAGAAGTTCCCAAACAAAGTTTGTTCCACTAGTTACATTCCAGCTTCCCCACTCTGGGAGTGACCTCTGGAAGGCCACACTGGAACTGCCACATCTCAAGACCACAGTGGAAGGAACCGCCACTCATCCACCCACCCAATGCACAAGATCTCTGCCCTCATAGCCCCTTGCTCAGCTTTCCCAAACCTCTTTGCCCTCAGGTTTAGTTCAACGGCCGTAACTGACCCCGGGCCCCTCAGCTACTGCTTACAAAATAGCTTGTTCTTTCTTAATACTGTTCAGGAAACTATTCAGTTGGGATTACAGCATGATATCCTGCGTGTGTGTGTGTGAGTGTGTGTGTGTGTGTGAGCGCGCCATGCACATGCATGTGCATGTGCATGTGCATGTTTGGGAAGAAGGAGGCACCTCCAAAAGGCTATGAAAGCTGAGGATCAGGTTGGAACAAGGACCATGCAAACACATCAATTGCACCCAGTCCTTAGATCCAATCTGGTCTTTCTTCAAAATCTTTCAGAAATTAATTTTTAATGTTACAACATTTGTACACAGATGGGGTTAAAACTCTCCTATATTAAACTATTGTATAGTCCCCAATTCCAAACCCTTTTTTCCACTCTTTTTTAAAATTGTTATTATAAAGGTGATGTACACGGGCTGGGAAGTTGGCTCAGTGGTAGAGCGCTTGCCTTGCATGCCTGAGGCCCTGGGTTCGATTCCTCAGCACCACATAAGAAAAAAAGCCAGAAGTGACACTGTGGCTCAAGTGGTAGAGCGCTAGCCTTGAGCTGAAGAGCTGAGGGACAGCGCCCAGGCCCAGAGTTCAGGCCCCATGACCGGACCCCAAAAAAAAAAAAAAAAAGCAATACTCTTCCTTTCTTTTACTTTGCTTCAGATGGTAAACTTAGGGATTCGAAAAGTACTGAACACACACACACACACACACACACATATGCACATGAGTATAAATATATATGTGTGCATGTATAAATGTGAAGGTATATACATGTGTGTATATACATGTATGTGTGCATATATAAACATTTAAATTTTTCCAAGTCTCTATTAAGATCCTTTCATAACTATTCTTATTTCATATGCATTTATCCCTTTCCCTCTCCTACAATAATAAATGTAGTCTGCTAAACCTTTCCCATAATGCTATGTGTCTCCATCCCCATTTGTTTCCTTTCTCAGTAGTCAATGTTCCCCAGAGTTTGTTGAGTCCCCTGCCAGACAGCTGGGTGGGAAGTGCCATCTTGGTTGGGAGGGTTTGGTTGAGACAAGGAGGAGGACACAATACGCCACAGTTTGGTTGCTCTTCCTCAGGACAGTGATACTTGGTCTCATCTAGGTGTTTCCAGGTGACTGAAGTACCACTTGACCTCTAGTCCAAAATAACACCCCTATTTCACTTGTGCCTCTTTACCCATGGGGAGAAGAGAACCGCCATGATAACTCTCCTTAATGGCTCCCCATTAAGAATTCCAACTAACCACATTGCCATAGTTCCTGGGTCTCTTCTGCCCTGTTTGTATCATCTCTAGGAATGGAGTTGCTTACAGAGCTCTTCCTCTCCACCGCTTCCCTCCCTTCTAGCCCCCCTCCTGGCCCCTAGCCCCAACTCACCCACCCTATTCTTGGGTTTCTCAACATGATCCTGTTTTCTCTCTCCCAGAATTCTGCTGTGTAGTCTGCTCAGAGGACCCTTCCCTCCCCCACCCCCCAGTCCTAGGGCTTGAACTCAGGTTCTACACACTTGTCCCTGAGCTTCTTTTGCTCAAAGCTAGTGCTCTACCACTTGAGCCATTGTACCACTTCTGGCCTTTTCTGTTTATGTGGTACTGAAAAATTGAACCCAAGGTTTCATGCATGCTAGGCAAGCACTCTACCACTAAGCCACATTCCCAGCTCGGAGGTCCTTTCTTGGTTTCATATGGAACTTTGGTATGTTGGCTCACATGTTACTTTTCTCCTCTCTCTTATTTCCACAGATTTGGTAAGAGGGAAGAAAGATTGTGTAGCTAATCAATCCAGCATTTTGACAGATGCCTTCTCTCCTCATAGTTCCTCTACCTCCTTCCCCAGCTTTCTCTCCTCCACCAGGCTGCTCCATCTCTAAACACCTGTCCCAGAAGCTCAGGACAACGACCAACCATCTTCTTAGGAAAGAGCTGCTTGATGTAGATTCGATTTTGCTTCTGTCACCCTTTTGAGTAAATTCTGGTACTAAAGTCTGAATTCAAAGACCAGCATGACTTACCCCTCCCTTGCCCAGGTAGAGTCCAGCATAGGTTTTGTGAAAATAGACTTTATTATAATAAAATGTCTTTTTTTTTTTTTTAAACAAATGCCCTCACCATCCCACATCCCTGGAGATCAGGGTCAGGGGGTAGGGTTCGGTCAAACATCTCCCACCACAGCAAAGGAAAACATGCAAAGACATTCACCCAGACAGAGGGTGAGGGATGGGGTGGTTAGGGTAAAGGGGAGGGAACCCCCCCACCCACTCTGAACAGGTAATGTATGAAAATAGCTGTATTTATCTGTCCTTTTCCTAGATCCTTCGACTCCAGACAAGGGCCAGAAGAAAATGATGCAAAAGAAGTTGAATCCAATGAGCAAAATAAGGCAAACTCAACTCCTGCGTTCTGCCTCCTTGCCCCCTTGGGTTTTGTAAGATAGAATGACACGGGGCCAGGAGGTCCAAGCAGGGAGGGGTGGAGTGCTGTGGGGCGGGGTCAGGCCCACTTTGGCATGGCCCTTCTCCTTCCCCAGGCCTGTGCAGTGAAAGCGAGATGGAGGAGCTAGACTGAGGCACTGAGTATGTACATATATACACACGGCTCCGCCCGCTGCCTGTCGGGAGACTCCAGTGCAAACTTTCCTTCAGGAGAGGGAAGACATGGTCAGGACAGCCAGAGCCATCAGAGGGAGCCAGAGCCCCTGTCTCCGCCTAGGGTCCTGTCCTGGGAGTAAGGAGAGCCAAAGAAGGGACCGGTATAGCATGGTAGGAAAGTAGAGCTAAGCTAGGTGGATAGACTGGAAGCCAAGAGTCTTGGGTCCAGTCCCTGTCTGATGGTGCTCTATGCCCTTGGCCAAGTTATTTACTCACGGTGGGGTAGTTTTCCCTCTTGGAAGAGAAGGGGCCTTTCTAAAGAATTCATCGTGTGTGTGTGTGTGTGTGTGTGTGTGTGTGTGTGTGTGTGTGCGCGCGCGCGCGCGCGCGCCCACATACCAGTACTGGGGCTTGAACAGAATCTGGGCACTGTCCCTTAACTTTTTTGCTCAAAGCTAGTACCCTACAATTTGAGCCATATCTCCACTTGTTGTTTTTTGAGTGGTTAAGTGGAGGTACAAGTCTCATGGACCTTCCTGTCTGGGCTGGCTTTGAATCTTGATCCTCAGATCTCATATTCCTAAGGAAGATTACAGGTGAGAGCCACCAGCACCCAGCTCAGATTCATCCTTAAGAACCCATGTAGTTCCCACCTTCACCAGGCCCCACAGAGTTCACTCAGAAAACAAGACTCTGGGCCTGTTGGGCCTCCCTGACCAGCCCAGATGATGAGCTGGAAGCCACGTCCGCCTGCAGGATGGGCCACGGCTTCACTCCTTCCCAGAGCTCAATTTCCTCAGGAGCTGCTTCCCCTTAGAGAGGAGACCCCGCAGCTTCTCAGCTGTTCCCTGTGGTTCCCCCAGGTCAGTCTTGGGGAGACTCCCAGGGCTGGGGCTACAGTGCCATCCGGAGGGCACTGGGGGCCCTTGTGTTGTGCTGTCCCAGTCCTGGAAGGTAAGAGAAGGGTAAGGTCAGGGCTGACTCTCTCCCTGCCTGACTCCTTCCATGCAGACTCAGGAGTCTGAGCCTCTCATGTCACAGACATACAGCTGAGAGCCAGGATCTCATCACCCTGTAGCTGCCCCAGACACACAGGGCACAGAGGTGAATGTGGAATGATGCTGAAGGGACACTGTATGAAGAGGACCATGGGACCCAGAGTCTCAGTTCTGCTTTGTTAATCTTACCACAGGGTGCTGAGCTGACAGAGCTCAAGCTCTCAGAACCTGACCCTTCTGTGCATGTCCGCAACTTCCTGTGTCAGATCCCACCCAAGGGAGGTAAGAACCAGGGCTCTTAGGGGCAGCTGGTGCCGTGTCCCAGGGGTCTTCCTGGTGTGAAGCTAGAGTCCACTCCATGAGGAGAGAAGAGAGACTGGAACGCTCCCTTAAATGGCCAGAGAAGACTAGAAGGAGGCCAGGCCCAGAGAGGACTATGGAACAGGGGTATTATTTGGCCCCCACCACAGATTCTATCTAGATGCTGCCCCTGCCTTTAGTGTTTTCCCTCTAACTGAATCTCCTCCTGGCTCCATTAGCAGCTCCGCCATGGGATACCATCTCTGATTGTGCTTTTTGGTGGCCTAAGGTTACAGAGTTGGGCAAACAGGAGATCCACCAGAAAGCCATCCCCAAACCCCTGTATTCCCACATCCCTACCTGACCCTGCTGGACCTGGCATAACTCTGTCAGCTCCTGCCAGGCTGCATGCCCTTCCCTCCTTCCTCTTTCTCTCAAGGTGCCATTGCTCCTCAGCCTAGCAAGTTCTCAACCAGCAACAACAGAAGTATCGGCTAGAGGCAAAGGAACTAGATGCACACCACCCGCCCTAGCCCTGAAGGAGGGGACTGAGCCTGGACAGAGTTCCCTCAGACTTGTATGTCAAAGCCTCTACTTACTAATGGCTACTAGGAAGTCCCAGGCCTTTCCCAGGAAAGGGAAGTAGGGACATTGCTAGAGAAATAAAACATGGAGAGATCTTATCTCTGCATTTTTTTTAACTATACAAGTTCTTCCTTTCCCTTTAAGCAAAGCAATTTAAGAGATGGAAGTAAACACACGTGTGTGGTCAAACAACAGGTCACCAGACGCAGGCTGAAGATGGGAAAGCTATTATTATCAGTGACATTGCATTGCCGCCTTTGTCACTGGTAATAATTGCAATATTATAGTACCATATAGTCATATGGTATCATAATACCTCTGAAGAGTCCATACATGGGTGTCATGGAATGTTCTATAAACTGCATATGTGATAGCACATGAAGGGTTAGCTAACGTGAGGCATCATGTGCCAAGATGGCATGTACTACTAGGACAGCTGGCATTGCCCAGGGGAAAGACGAGATGGGGAACAGGAAGGGAGGGGGAGAAATCCCACTCAAACCCCACTCATGGTGAAATCTCCCTCACCCACTCCCTGGAAGAAAATGGCAAATGGAAAAGCCAGGTCAGCTCCATTTAAGACAAAAAGCTGCAGCGTGATTACAGTTTAACAGGGAGTAGGGGGTGGGTCACATGGGACAGAGGGGGTCAAGTCCCCCACTTACATGTTTCTCTCTCTACATATATCTATCTCCATCTAACACTGGACTCTTCTCCTCCTCGTTCTCTGAGAACCGGGAACAAAGAGAGGCAATGGGTTATGGACAGATCCCACAGGCTTTCCATCCAGTCACCAGATAGCCCAGGAATGGTTCCCATTTGGCCTAGCCTTTGAACTTGGAGCTACTCCACATGGATGCCCTGGGTTTTCTGGTTGGGCTCAGCTTCCTTACCTTTCCCCGCCCTCTGAGGCAAAAGACCTAATTGTACCCCATCTACCCCAAGGTGAGTCTAAGAATGAGCATTTAGGAAGCCGGGCCTTGCTGGGAAGCTGGGTGTGTGGCACATGCCTGTAATCTTAATAATTGGCAGGCTTTCATGGGAGAAGAGTTCAAGCAAGACATCATCTTATTTTCTTTTTTCTTTCTTTTCTTTTTTTTTTTTTTGTGCTAGTCCTGGGGCTTGAACTCAGGGCCTGGGCACTGTCCCTGAGCTTCTTTTGCTCAAGGCTAGTGGTCTACCTCTAGAAGCCACAGAGCCACTTCCAGCTTTTTCCGTTTATGTGGTACTGAGGAATGGAACCCAGGGCTTCATGCATGCTAGGCAAGCACTGTACCACTAACCTACATTCCCAGCCCAAACATCATCTTTAAGAGGGGGGAAAAAATCCCTGGGAGGCAGGGAAGCCCAACAGGTTCATCCTAGCAGGGTGGGAAACCCTGAAACCAAGGCTATGTCAAACTTGGAGGTAAGAAGTGGGAGCTCTTTGCTATAAGGCCCCCTCTCCTATGAGCCCTTGGGGTGTTAACAGATGACCTGGAGGTCACAGGTATCATTCCTCCACAGAAAAGGCCATATACTGGGTGGGGGATGCCCCAGAGGGGTCACATCTGCTATAAACTCATCAGTTCAGCCCAGAGTGCTGAACTGTAGTCTACATTCAGCCTCATCCCTCCCCCCATACTGTCCTTCCCACCCACCCCCCACCCCCCACCCCCACCAGCAGGATAGAGACTACCACAGACTTGGGAGTCAAGCTCTTCACTGACCTGACTCTCAGCCTGTGATGTCCCAGGGTCCCGGTCTGGTCTTCCTGCCTCAGGCCCAGGACCTTCCAGGAAGTTAGATGGAACCAGGCCTCTTTGTCCATTCAGTTCTCCCTAGAGAGGAGATGCTGATGAGCCTGAGAACAAGATAGAGGCCCCAGCCTGTCCCCTTGACCCTGACACCCCTGAGGAACACAGCCCAGGGCCAGTATCACCATGGAGGGAAGTAGCAAGTCCATTCTTCCAACCTGCCGTCAGAACCCTTGCCCATCCCCCGCCTCAGTCTCCCCTTACTGTACCCCCAAACCTCGTGCCATGCCCTCACATAGAAGAAGCCATCATCATCCATGTTCCCGAACACAGTAATGACATCCCCTGCCCTGAAGGGCAGTTCTGCCTGAAAGAGGGCGAGAGGCAGGCATCAGGCCCTGCCACTGTCAGTCATTCCGTCACTAGGCGCTATCTGAGAGTCCTCACCTCCACGTCCATGTTGGGGGAGCTCTCCCGGGGGTTGTAGTCAAATGCTGCCACCATAGGCCGAGGAGCTTTTAGGCAGGCAGATGGAATCAGCTTGGGGGCTGCTGCAGAGGGAGGGGAGAAGGGTCAGAATGGTCTCAAGACTCCTCGCTCCATGCTGTTCTCTACACTGGAGGCCTATGACCCTCTATTCACCACCACCCCCAGAGCCCTGGGGGAAAGACCCAAGCGTTTGCTCCTCCCACATAGCTTCCCGGACACCCCAGCCCATGGGACGGGCCTCTCACCTTGACAGGGCTGGGCAGGGCCTTCCGACTCTGCTGTGGAGAGAATGTGCCTCTGAGCCCTCTCCTGTACTTCCCTCTTCATCCCAGGCTGGGATACTGGGATGGCACAGGGCAAGCAGGATGCTTGCCCTCACAGGAAGGATGCAGGAGTCCAGGGGGGGGTGGGGGGGGAGGGAATGCTCAGAAAGTATCAGCTCAACTCGCTGGCTTGGTAGCAAACTAAGGCTCTGAAAGGGTGAGTGAACTGCTCTAGGCTGCACAGAGGCCATAGTCAGGTGCTCTGGGGAACAGAGATCCTGGGAAACTGTTCCCCTTTCACTCCCCTCAATGGAGTGGTTGAGGATGAGTGAAGGATTGCTCCAAATCCCCCCATCTCAATACTCCACATGTGTATTATCCTCAAAGAGCCACGCAATGCCATCCCGCCACCAAGCACACACATTGATCACAGACAAGGCAGAAACACAGGGTCTTTACTCACCTTTCTTGGAACGGCGGGGCTTGGGAGGAGGCCCGGTTGTGCGGGCTGTGGAGTATACAAAAGGACCGTTCCCTGATCCAAGAAGGCAAGTAGATGGAAGAGAAACTGAGGCAGGGGAGGTAAGGGAAAGGGGACAGACTGGAGGCTCTCACAGAACAGTATACGGTTCTTGGGCTCTTTTTTTTTTTTTTTTTTTTGGCCAGTCCTGAGGTTTGAACTCAGGGCCAAGGCACTGTCCCTGAGCTTCTTTTGCTCAAAGCTAGCACTCTACCACTTGAGCCACGGTGCCACTTCCAGCTTTTTCTGTTTATGTGGTACTGAGGAATCGAACCCAGGGTTGCATGCTAGGCAAGCACTCTACCACAAAGCCACTGTCCCAGCTCCTTGGGCTCATTTTTTTAAAGGCCTAAATCTCATATCCCTAAGAGTTCTGATGACCTCCAGAACCCAAAAGTGTATGGCCAGTATTACTGTATTCTAAACACACCAACCTCCTGAGGGACCAATTCCCACTCCATGTGCTGAGCCCCAGGGGGTGGCCATGCTGGCTTTCCTCTTTGCCAGGCCCCACCGGAGAGCTCAGCCACCCCCACCATACAGATCACTCATGAGGGCACTGGGTTGGAACTGGGGTGGCAGGCGGTAGGAGACGGAGAGCATCAGGTCGTACCTGAGCCTTTGATGAGAACATCCGGGGACAAATAGCCCTGCTGGAGCAGCTGTTGTCTTTCCACCAGACTGTCCACAGCCACCTCAGCCACCATGTTGCAGGGAATGTAGCCTGTCCGGCCTCCACCTTCCCCCCGGTAGAAGCCATCAGCATCTTTGTCCCCAAATACCTGGAGGCAAAGACCAGTTATCTCAGGAGGCCCGTTCACTCACTGCACCCCCCTGAGCCCTGAAGCCTGTAGCACCCCACTTGAAGGACCAAGGATGCTTAATCTGCAGGCCACAGGCCAGAAAAGGGAGACACAACAAAGACTTAGATCAGGGGTACATGAGAAAACAACCCTTTGTAAATCACCATCATCACTACCTAGGTGGACTCTTCCTCAGTTCAGCCCCAACTGGGTCCCTAATCTCAGAGATGGAGGCAAAAGCTTTCCATCAGTACTCAGAGAAACAATACAAATGGTAATAATCACAGCACTACAATGTGCCCACTAGATGTGCCAGGCAGGTTAGGTGCTGTGTGTTTGTTGAATCATTTACTCCTCAAGCAAGCCTGTGAGGCAGACGCTCCCTCATATCCCCAGAGGGATGCAGTAATCTGCGCAGAACCACACAGCTAGACCTGGCAGAGACAGGGTCCTCACCCCATCATCTGGCTCTTGAATCTGTATTCTCTACCCACTCGCTCCGATTCTATGATGCCTCTACTGGAGGCAGGAGGGAGAAGGCAGGATGCTGGCCAGAGTCTGGGGCTCTGAGCCCAGGGGGGGTGAGTCTGTCACCTTCAGGATCTGACCCTCCCGGAAAGGGAGTTCCTCTTCTCCAGCATCGGGGTTGGGTGACATTGACACGGGGTCATAGTCAAACAGAGCCACAAAGACCCTCACAGGTAGGTCCTGGTGAGCCAGCGCTTCTGGGGGGCTCCTTGGAGGGGCTATAGAGGGGGTTGGGGACAGAGCAGGGGCTTAGTGAGCGCAAACCACCATGAGGTTAGGAAGAAATGATCCCTTGGGCCTGTCCCCCCCCACCCCCTTCTCCCGCCCCCCCCCCCCACCTCCACCCCCCATTACGTGCTCACCCAGCTCCGTGATCACTGGCCTGGCCATCCGGGCCCCTTTCCTCTGGGGACCTCTCCGCCCAGAGCTGTCCTGTCCTCTGGGCTCCCCAGTCTCTGTTGCCTGCAAAGAAAGGGCAACAGATGGCAGAAGTGACACACTATCCCTGGGGGTGGCCCCCCCGCTCCCTGGCTCTGCCCAGTCAGCAGCTTAAGCGACACAGCAGAACAGGAGCACAGCATTCTTCTCCAGGGGCCTGGGCGGCCCTCGCCGAGATGCCAGACGGTCCCACGGAAGGAGGGAAGAAGGGCGGGAGGGGGAGGCCCCAGCCCCAGCACGAGAGACCATAGTTTCCCGGTCAGCATCAGGGATGGTGACTCTGGACATGGCATCCGTCAGTGTCCTGAAGACATAACTAACCACTCAAGAGGAAAGGGCCACCCCTGCCCAAGGTAGCAAGTGGCAACCAGTGATAACAGAATATTGTGCATCCGGTTCCATCCAGCAGAAGCAGCAAAGCAGTGGAATGTGGGTGAGAGGAGGCAGGTGAGGAAGCTCAGAGGCCCGGCCCCAGCTCTGTGGATGGAGGCGGCAGCGTGGAATGGGAGTGGCTCGTGGGCAGCAAGCAGGGCCGCCAGGTGGCAGCAGGCAGCAAGGCTGCCCAGGGTGGGGAATGGGCACAGACCCGGGAGGGTGACTCCTTGGCTCTGCCAGTCGTACTGCGGCCTCTCCGTTCCTGTTCCCCTTTCTCCCAGGCTGGGAGGCGTGGGTAGGGGTTGGGGCCTGAGTTGACCTTCAGAGGTCCCCTGGGCCTCCCTACAATGGCTGTGCCCCAGATCTCCCCATCTGTGGGGTAGCAGGAGCTGGTTATGCTGATACCCCCAATGCCCAAGTCCTGCTCATCCTCAGAATCATATTCGATGCTGATCTCCAAGCACTTGGGAGAGAGGCAACTAGCTAGGCCAGATTCTAGGGCCGGGCCACGAGGGCACCTCCGGGAAAGGCCGGGCCTCCCTCTCCCACCAGCTTCTAGTCCACCCCTGGTGCCCTCGACCACAGGGAGGTTGCCCCTCTCCCGTGGGGGGCCGGGGCCTGCTCCTGGTCGTGCAGAAGCCTGGGGCCCGCCATTGCTGAGAAGCCGGCTGCACTGTTCACGAGGATCTGGAGGTCGCTTGCGGCTTGGCGGTTTCTCAGGGGAGCCACTTCTTCTCCTCCGGCTGTTTCCACCAACGAGTCCAGACATATCCTCCAGGTGCTCCCTGGCCCTGGAGGGTTCAGGAGACAGGGGACACGGGCCAGGTCCTTGGAGTTGATCACTGTCACGGTCCAGACCCAGCAGCACAGGTTCCGGGGCTTGGGAAGAATACCCAGCCCCCGGCTTCTCTTCATCCTCCTCCTCTTCCTCTTCCTCGGGGATGCTAAAGAGCTTCTTACTGCAGAACTGCTGGAGAGGCAGCTCCAGGATCTGCTCCAAGATCTCCTCATCACTGTCGGTCTCACAAAAGGGGTCAGGCTGGGGCTGGGGGTGGAGAGAGAGCAGCTGGGAAGAGAAGCCCATGGGGAAGAGGAGAGGACTGTGATCTTGCCCTCAAGTGAAGGTCAGGGCCACCTTACAGCCCTCCCTCAGCTTCCTCTGAGGGGACAGAATTAGAGGGACAATGACTGACCCCAAATCATAACCATGTCCAGGCAGAACCAAGAATCAGGCACCAGCCTGTATGGGGCAGGGGCGTAGGGAAGCGAGCCATGCCTCTCATATGAGGAGAGCTTCCCCTCCTCCCGCCTCCGCCCCCTCCCCCACTGTCCCCGTCCCCAGAGGCTCCCAGCACAAGCTCTCAGATGGCACCAGTGTCCCCTGGCCAGGGTACTGTGTCCAGCAGGCTGGAAAGGTATGGAAGCGAGCTCTTCTCCACTTTTCTTCCCAGCAGGACAGAGGCCCCACCCTGGGCCTCTTCATGCCTGCTGCTTTGGATAGGACTCAAGCCACACACCTAGAATGTTGCCACACTTAGTGGGTGGCTGGAGCCGCTCCTGATATGGGATCAAGGCCCTGGAGCCTGAGGTCTGGCACCTGCCAGCCCCCCATCCCCACCCCGTTACCTTGGCACCATTCTCCCTGATACTGTTGCCAGCAATCTGCTTCTGGAAGGAACAAGTCCTAGAACCCAGCTCCTCTTCCTCCTCTTCTTCCTCTTCCTCCTCCTCCTGGATGTCTGATAGGTCTGAGTTGCGGCCATGATCCACCATGGAGTTCACCAGATGAGGCCCAGGTCCTTCCACAGACGCGTCCTCACTCTGCAAGAGGAGAGACAAAGGAAGAAAGATAGAAAGGCCTAAGTGACACCGGCGGAGATATGGCAGGATGCTCGAGCAAGGGTCAGGCCCAGCCCAAGTTAAAAAAAAAAAAGGAGAGCCTGGTGCCTGTAGCTTATGCCTGCAATCCTAGCTTCTCAGGAGGCTGAGATCTGAGGATCACAGTTCAAAGTCAGCCTAGGCAGAAAAGTCTTTGAGACTCTTATCTCCAATTAACCACCAAAAAAAACAGAAGTGATGTTGTGGCTCAAAGGGACAGAGTGCTAGTTTTGAGCAAAAGAGCTCAGAGACAGTGTCCAGGCCCTGAGTTCAAGCCCCATAACCAACAGAAAGAAGGAGAAAGAGCCCAAAGAAGAAAGATCCATGGTCAGAATTGGGAGTATATTAGATGAGGGTGCCGAATGGGAGAGAGAAATCTGGAGGAAAAAAAAAATTGTAACAAACAGACACACAGCAGACAAAGATGTGAGTCAGACCAGAGCAGAGGACAAGTGGAAAGGGCAACTAGCTTAGACTGACCAAGGTTAGGAAAGGAAGCCTCAATTCGTGAGATAGCACAGTACGCCTCCAGCTCCTACCTCAGCCCCGGGTCTCAGCCCTGACTCTGGATCTCCTCCATGGCAGACCTCCGTGCTTGGCACCCTCTGGGCCAGGGCTCCCTGGGTAGAGCAGGGTGTGGGGACTGTCTCTCGTGAAGCCCGTTCGGCCTGGCTGGGGAAGTCGGGAACCACAGTGCTAGGGCCTCCCTCGGCCAGGGTCGGCTCATTGGCCCTCTTCTCCTCTGAGGAACCCAGCAGAGCTGTCACAGAGGCTTCCTGAAATGGATGGCACTGAGGAAAAGATCCCAAATCCTGGCCCTTCTCCCAGCCACCTGCTTCCTCCCATCCAGACAAGGTACCTGGGAACAAGCTGGAGGTTCCTCCTGGGGTCCTCTGGGCTCATGCCTGGAAGGGCTTGCTGGGGGACCTCCTGGAGGCTCTTGAGTTCCATGGGGGGCGGGGTGCTGGAGGGGAGAACTGAGGTCGCCAGGCTCTGGGGAGGCTGGAGCAAGGGGTGTTCTGACCTCGGGGCTTGGCCGTGGTGATGAGGGGCAGGAGAGCCTTGCTGGCAGGCAGGCCGGAGCAACAGGAGCCGGAATGGAGTCGGCCGACTCTCCATGGGGCGACATGGTGCGCACAGTCACCTCTTGGCACACCTGGAGCAGCTGCAGCTGGGACAACTCCACCAACACACTGCCAGCTGTGGGCGAGGCCACCTCCATGATCTGCAGGGAGGACCACAGCACGGGAGGACACAGTGACAACATTAGCTAGCCTCTTTCCAGGCATCCTGAAAAGGCCTGTCCCTGCCTTATCTCTTTCCTTTCTCTTAGCCGTGTGATTTCAAAGAAGAGCAGCTTTTCAATCCCGTGCATGCTGTCAAAGCCCGTTGCTCAGCCAGGTGCGGGTGGCTCACGCCTATAATCCTAGCTACTCAGGAGGCTGAGATCTGAAGATCACAGTTCCAAGCCAGCCCAGGCAGGAAAGTCCATGAGACTCTTGTCTCCAATTAACCCCCAGAAAACCAGAAGTGGAGCTGTGGCTCAAAGTGGTAAACTGCTAGCCCTGAGTAGAAAAGCTCAGGGACAGTACCCAAGCCCTGAATTCAAGCCCCATAACCAACAACAACAAAAACGAAGTCTATGCTCCTAAACACTCTGCCACATAGGACCCAAAAGTTAGAGGTTAGACATCTCTGTCAGGCCAAGGAGGCCAGGCCTCTGAGCATATCCTGACCACTCCAATCCCTGTACCCTGCCCAGGCCATACCTTCTGCCCATCAGCATAGATGGCATAACCTGTGACCCGGACACCATTGGACGTGCCAGCAGCATCAATGGTGACAGGAAGCCAACTGATGATCAAGATTCCAGGGGAGGGCCCAGGTTCAATCTGCACATCCAGGGGGGCATCAGGTGGGCCTGGGGGAGGTGGAACACAAACCCCAGTAATGTAGGATGCTCCCTGTCAGAGACAGTGGCCTAATCTGTCATTTTCCTGGCAACATACACAGGGCCAGCCCCCTCCTGACACTGTCTCCCACAGGCTCTCCTCCTGGTTGATATATGGACATTGCTCCCACAACACAGACCTGCTGGGAGTGTGGTAAACTGCAAGGTGGCAGCCCGCTGCTCTGGCTTCTCCAAGCCTGGGTCCCAGGATCCTCGGGGTGGGAGCTGAGCCTCCACTCGGGCCTGATAGAGTGTTCCAGGCCGCAGGTGGCAGAAGGTAGCCCAGTAGGTGTTGGGGCGGGCAGATGGACACTCTTCCCCATTGAGGTAGATGGCATGGGCCAAGTTGCTATTGCTGGGCACCCAGGTGATCTCAGCAGATGTGGCTGTCAATCGATGGATCTGCAGCTGGCTAGGTGCCACCCCGGCCCGAGCACCCACAGTCAAACAACAGCGCAGTGGGTCGGAGCTGCCCTTGCTGGTCAGGGCCTGCACAGATACACGGAAGGGTCCAGCCCGCAGGTCCAAGTTTTCAAGCACAGCCTTGGGGGGCGCCCCAGGCCCCAGGACCTGACGTGGCTCTCCGTTCACACAGATATGGAAGCCCTGCAGGTCTACTCGCTCAGGGGGCAGCTCCCAGGCCAGTACCACACTGTGGGCCAGCTGCTTGAGGACCACCAGACGGCGGGGGTAAGGCACAGCAGGAGGCTCACCCAGGCCCTCGGGTGGGGGGCTCAGACTGAGCGCATCCCCTGCGTCCTCCTCCTCCAGTCTGGGCTGGCTATGGCCCCCACTGCTCTGGCCCCCACTATGGCTGCCACCACCACCACCACCACCGCTCAGGAAACTGAGTTCAGGGCCTGAGCTGTGGGACAAATCGGCCAGCTCCGAAGGGAGGGAGGTCAGGAGGTCGTCATCTGACACACGCTCTACAAAATTGGAAGGGACCAGGCCCCTTCGGCCATCCATAAGCTCCCCTACCAGAGGGAAGACAGGGAAGGGCAGGGAAGGGGAAGACAAAGAAGAGAGAGAGAAAACAACAATCCAATCAATGCATTTTAGCCATGGCTAGTCATGAGATTAATAAGCGTTTGATTCAAATTGATATTTTCCTCTCAGCGCTGACGAACAAGTACCAAAATAAAGGCAAATAAATAAATAAATGCCCAAGTAGCTGGGCATGATGGCACACACCTGTAATCCCAGCGCTCAAGAAGCTGAGGCAGGAGGACTGTAAATACAAGGCCAGCCTAGAGACACTTGGGGGTATGTATGAAGACTGTAAAAGGAAATAAAAAGGAGGGAGGGAAGGAGAGGGAAATGGAGCCGACTGAGGGGTAAGGGCTGGCCCTTCCCTTTTGCTTTGTAAAAAATGTAGGTACTCAAAAAAAGGGAATGTGGCTCAGTGGTACAGTGCTTGCCTAGCATGCATGAAGCCCTGGGTTCCATTCCTCAGTACCATATATACAGAAAAAGCCTGAAGTAGCGCTGTGGCTCAAGTGATAAGAGTGCTAGCCTTGAGCAAAAGAAGCTCAGGGACAGTGCTCAGGCCCTGAGTTCAAACCCCAGGACTGGCAAAAGAAAAAAAGGGAGAAGGAGCAACCACCCACTTTATCAGGGTAAGGGGAGAAGTAAGCATCAGAAAAAAAAGAGTGACTTCTGGGTTCTAGAAAGAATCAGGCCCCACAGCAGGTTTGTGTCCAGGAACACAGCTGGGAGTCAATCCAGGTGACCAATGATGTTTATTACCTGTGTCAGGTCTCCTAAAGACATGACAAAGAGATTGTTTTGTAATTGTTTGTTTAAGGAATATCAAGAGAGAAGAAAGCCAGATACACGCCATATCACAGCCAATCATTAGAAGGAAAAATTTTTCAGGTAGCAGAAAGTTGGTGACTGTGGGGCCTTGGCAGGAAGAATAGCACAGGGCTCAGCTTCAGGGTACCTGGGAATTGCCCCAACAATAATTCATGGCCTTAACCCTGACTCTGAGCTTGACACTAGGGGAAAAATAACATAAGAAAACTTGAAGAAACAGTAAGTTAGATAATAAGCACCATTGTGGATTGAATAGTGACTATCCCAAAGTGCATCTGTATCCTAATCCCTTGGAAAAAGCATCTTTACAAATGTAGGTAAGCTAAGGATCTTGAGACAAGATCATTCTAGATTAACTGAGTAGGTACTAAATCTAATGGCCAGAGTCCTTATAAAAAAACAATACAGTCTGGGAATGTGGTTTAGTGGTAGAATGCTTGCCTTGCATGCATGAAGCCCTGGGTTTGATTCCTCAGTACCATATATACAGAAAAAGCTCAAGTGGTAGAATGCTAACCTTGAACAAAAGAAGCTCAGGGACAGTGCCCAGGCTCAAAGTCAAAGCTCCAGGACTGGCCAAAAAAAAAACATACAGAACCAGGCACTGCACTGGTGGCTCACGCCTGCAATCCCAGCTACTCAGGAGGCTGAGATCTAAGGATAGCAATTTAAAGCCAGCCAAGGCAGGAAAGTCTATGGACTCTTACCTCCAATTAACCACCAGAAAACTGGAAGTGGAGCTATGACTCAAAGTGGTAGAACACTAGTCTTGAGCAAAAAAGTTCAGGGACAGTATCCAGGCCCTGAGTTCAAGCCCAAGACCACCACCACCACAAACAACAACAACAACAACACACACACACACACACACACACACACACACACACACACACACACAGAACAGAAAAGAGAAACATTCAGAGAAGAGGAAGCAATATGGCCACAGATGTAGAGATTAGAGTGATGTGGCCACAAGCCAAGGAACACCTGGAGGCATCCAAAGCTGAAATAAACAAGGAGTAAATGCAATCTCTCCTCAAGCTTCCCCCACAAGGAATGCAACCCTGCCAACACCTTGGTTTCTGACTTCTGGCATCCAGAAGAGGTCAGTGAGTGAATAAAATGCTTGCTATTTTAAGCCACCCAGTTGGTGGTCATTTGTAGGGTAATCCCAGGCAGTTAATAGAAACAATAGCACTGTGGGCATGGGATGAAAGGTAGGAGGCCTCACCAGACATGAATCTGTAGCCTACAAAGCCAGAGCTGGAGCCTGAACCACAGCCAGGCCCTCAAAGCTCATGCCACTGAGAACACTGCAGCAAGGACCAGATATAAATGAAGCTGTTACTTGGGCTGGAAAGGTGGCTCAGTGGTAGAGCACTTGCCTTGCATGCCTGAGGCCCTGAGTTCAATTCCTCAGCACCACAAAAGCAAAAAGAAAAAAGCCGGAAGTGGGGCTGTGGCTCAAGTGGTAGAGCCCTAGCTTTGAGCTGAATTGCTGAGGGACAGAGCCCAGGCCCAGAGTTCAGGCCCCACGACCGGACCTAAACAAAAGCTGGACGAGGAACCCCGCTGAAGCTCAGACTAAACCTGGGCCACAATGCCTGCTTATGTCTTCTTCTGAGACCCGATCCTCCCTCTCCAGATCTGACTGAAGTACAGCATCAAAAGTAGGTCACATGCTTGACCTCAAGTGTCACCAGTGCTGCCTTGCTCGCTCTAAAAAATGGATCTAGCCAAAATCCCCTGTGATTCTCCATCCACCACCTAAACTATGGTATGCCCTAGCCTGGCCTGCTAGTGCTAGGCCTCTTTCTTTCTTATTCCACACTGGCTTCCATGATTTAGTATGCCTCTTAGCTGAGTCCAGAATTTTTGTGGTAGAAAGTAAGAACACGCTGACCCTGAGTTCAAGCCCCAGTACAGACACAAAAATAAAAATTAAAAAAAACTGTCAGGCGCCAGTGGCTCATGCTTATAATCCTAGCTACTTAGGAGGTTGAGAGCTGAAGATCACAGTTTGAAGCCAACTTGGGCAGGAAAGCCTATGGAATTCTTTATCTTCAATTAACCACCACCAAAACAAACAAACAACAACAACAAAAACCCACAGAAGTGGAGCTATGACTCAAGTTCAAGTGGTCAAGTGCCAGCCTTGAGCGAAAAAGCCAAGAGCCCTGAGTTCAAGCCCCAGAAGCAATACCAAAAACAAAAACAAAACAAAAAAAGTTACAGTGGGCTGAGGATGCTGCTGAGTAGGAGTAAATGGATTTAAAACAAAAAAATTAAGTACAGGGGCTGGGAAGGTGGCTCAGTGGTAGAGCGCTTGCCTTGCATGCATGAGGCCCTGGGTTCGATTCCTCAGCACCACATAAGCAAAAAGAAAAAAACCGGAAGTGGCGCTGTGGCTCAAGCTCTAGCCTTGAGCTGAAGAACTGAGGGACAGTGCCAAGGCCCAGAGTTCAGGCCCCACGACTGGACCCAAAAAAAAAAAAAAAAATTATGTACAAAGTCAGAGGGTTAGACAGAATGATCCCTAACTGCGTCTTACCTTCAAAAAAGCCATCTTCGTCCATGTTGCCATAGACGTAGATGTATTCGCCAGCTGTCAATGGAAGCTCTGCCTCGGGATTCTCATTGGGGCCCTCAAAGGGGTTATAGCTGTTGGGGGAGTACAGAGGAGAAGGACAGCAACCTATATTGTATTTCTTTCCCCTTCTTTCCTCTCCCTTCACCAAGCCTTTATGAAGACTTGGTTTCCAAGTTGGCCAAGTAGTGCATTCACCTTGGCTCAACTAGGTTATGAGAATATGTCCGCCTAGAATTCTGGTAGCAACCCCTGATACCTCCAGAGGTCTCCCCTCCTCCCATACATCCCCAATGCTGGGAGAGGGAGAAAAGGTGAGGGACCCACCTATAGCGTGCTAAGAACACCTGGATCCTGGATCCTCCCGGGTTGCCCTCGGGTGCTGCTGGAACCAGGGAGACACTATCTACCTCCAGCTCCTCCACCTCACTGGCTGTATCCACCTAGAACAGACAGAAAGTTCCTCTCCAGGGCCTTGGATAAGCCAGAAGAGGACCCATGGCTTTGAGAAAGGAAAATGAGCACACTCTTTCTTTTTTTTTTTTTTTTTTGGGGGGGGGGGTCCGGTTGTGGGGCCTGAACTCTGGGCCTGGGCGCTGTCCCTCAGCTCTTCAGCTCAAGGCTAGCGCTCTACCACTTGAGTCACAGCGCCACTTCTGGCTTTTTTCTTTTTGCTTATGTGGTACTGAGGAATCGAACCCAGGGCCTCTGGCATGCAAGGCAAGCGCTCTACCACTGAGCCACCTTCCCAGCCCATGAGGCCCTGGTTTTCTAAGCCAGCATCTGATCCCAGCAGATGCTACTACCACCCACATACCCTGGCCAGGGGTTCTGGGTAGTCTTGTCCTCCTCTCCAGCTCAGTAAATAAAAGTCATTGCCCCCACCTGAAAGACCAGGTCCTGCTGGTACAGGGAGCCAATATTAATGTCAGTTTGTCTCTTAGGCTAAAAACTCCACAAAACATCTGGTTATAAAGAGATGGAAGCGAAGAAACAGAAAGGGCTGGAGAAGAGTCTGCCTCCCGCATGGCCACAGTGACTCTGTGGTTCAGTCCTGGAAGTAAGAACTTCCTATCCCCTGGGAAAAAGGATCTCCCGGTGGATAGTCCCTCCAGGATGACATTCAACATGGTACCACCAGCAGCCAGGTGCTGGGGCTCACACCTGTAATCCTAACTACTCAGGAGGCTGGAGATCTGAGCATTGTAGTTGGAAGCCAGCCCAGGCAAGAAAGTCCATGAAATTCTTATCTCTAATTAACCACCAGAAGACTGGAAATAGAGTTGTGGCTCAAAGTAGTACAGCACTAGCTTTTAGCAAAAAAAAAAAAAAAAAGCTCAGAAACAGTGCCCAGGCCCTGAGTTCAAGCCCCGGGATGGACAAAATTAAAATAAAGTGGCACCATCTGTCTATCCCACAAGGGGGCAGCAGAGGCTAAGTCTGGGTTCCACTACTTTTTGAAACCCTGTGATTCCTAGCTAGAAAGAGGAACGAAATTACATGTTGTGAGAGATGCTCAAGAACTTAGGGATAACAACAGCTGCTATGTGTAAGAGCATCTACTGAGACAGGCATGTACATTTTAATGCTATCCTCACAACCTTAATAGGCAGGTTTTATTATTCCCAATAGCCAGGTAAGAAAACTGAAGCCCAGGGGCTGGGAAGGTGGCTTAGTGGTAGAGTGCTTGCCTAGCATGCATGAAGCCCTGGGTTTGGTTCCTCAGCACCACATAAACAGAAAAAGCTAGAAGTGGTACTGTGGCTCAAGTGGTAGAGCGCTAGTGTTGAGCACAGAGAGGCTCAAGGACAGTGCCCAGGCCCTGAGTTCAAGCTCCAGGACCAGCAGAAAGAAAGAGAAAGAAAGAAGGAAGGAAGGAAGGAAGGAAGGAAGGAAGGAAGGAAGGAAGGAAGGAAGGAAGGAAGGAAGGAAGGAAGGAAGGAAGGAAGGAAGGAAGGAGTGAGTCAGAGAGAGAGGGGGGAAAGAAGGAAGGAAGTTGAAAGAAAGAAAGACAAAAGAAAGACAGGAAGGAAGGAGGAGGCTACAATGCTTGATAAGAAATGTACTCATTAGGGGCTGGGAAGGTGGGGTAGAGTGCTTGCCTTGCATGCATGAGGCCCTAGGTTTGATTCCTCAGCACCCAAAAAAAAAAAAAAAAAGAAATGTACTCATTATCTTGCCCATGTAATTGCAACCCCTCTGTACAGTATTTTCACAGTAAAATAAAATAAATAAAAAAGAAAGAACGAGAGGGGGGAAGGAAGGAAGGATGGAAGAAAGAAAGAAAGAAAACTGAAGCCCAGAAATGATAGGTGTGTGACTTAAGAAAAGGCTAGGATTTGAAACCCAGAGAATCTGTGATTTTTTTTTTTTTTTTTTTTTTTTGGTCGGGTCGTGGGGCCTGAACTCTGGGCTTGGGCGCTGTCCCTCAGCTCTTCAGCTCAAGGCTAGCGCTCTACCACTTGAGCCACAGCGCCACTTCCAGCTTTTTTCTTATGTGGTGCTGAGGAATCGAACCCAGGGCCTCTTGCATGCAAGGCAAGCGCTCTACCACTGAGCCACCTTCCCAGCCCCATTGTGATCTTTTTTTTATACAACCAACGGCTTCTACTACAGATGCTCTTATAAAGTCTCATTAGGAGAATCCTGGAAGCACGAGAGGAGTCCATAGGCCTTCTTCCTCCCAGCTTGGGATCAGTGATAACCCCAACTCTTGGGGACCCCAGGAGAGGTCAGGCTAACCTCTCCCTTTTTCCCAAGCCAACACCAGTCCCCCAGCACTGACCTCTGGTGTAGGGCATGACTTGGGACTGTTATGGATGGATTCAGAGTGAGAGGAGTTAGAGAGAGACTCAGCCTTCTTAGCTGTCCTTCGAGGGACTCCAGTAAGGGTGGCAGGGGCAGGCTCGGAAGACTTTGGAGTGCAGCGCCCCAGGGAGCCCGGCGGAAGGTCAAGGTCTAAAGAGAAGATGGCACATGGGCTTGGGATCTGTGGCCTGAAGAGGGACCAGGAAGATAAGGACAGAGCCTCCTGGATATGGGCATCAGACCCTCGTTAGTGGGATTCCTTACAATTTATATGTCTTTAACATGGTTCTCAGAACAGCTTGATGAAATGCACTGAATTATTCTTGGTTGTGGCTTAGGAAACTAAGGTCCACATTGGTGAAGCAACATGATCAAATTCACATTGGCTCTTAGATGGGTAGAGCTGGGACCAGCAAACCTGCCAGACCCCAAGTCCTAACTCGTCCTAAAGCCTTATGGGCTGCTACTGATTCCCGGTGTCCAACTCCTAGCTATGATTACGAGTTAGAGGGAGAAGGACGGTGGCCTGAGTGGCTGTGGCCAGATTCTGGGACTGCCACTCCCACGAGATTTGTCTTTCCCATCCATCTGGTTCTAGCTAGGTATGGCTTTAACTCCCTATGTGTCTTAGCATGAGTTTCTGGGGCCTTGTTGGATTGGATCCCTATTTTCAAAACCCCAGGCCTGGAATTTCAGTCCACTGTTATTAGGGTCCACATTACCTTTGGGGCCGGACCCCCGGCAAGGCTGGGGGGTAGAGCAGCAGCAGGAGGGTGGTGGGTGGTCCCCAAGGGCACTGCAGCCCAGGGCAGAAGTGAGTAGATCCAGGGGGCCTGGATGAAGACGGAAGGCCTGGAGCTCTTGTGCCAGGAGGCTGAATCGCTCAGTTTGGCTACGGCACTGTCCCTCAAGCTCTCGAACCCTGGCCTGGGACAAGACCTACCATGAACCACTGGCAAAGCTGCCCAGTAGCAAGCCATCTCCACACAACCCCATATTGAACTTCAGATTGCATTCATCCAGTCTGCCAGCCAGCCTTGGGCCAGTAGCACTCCTGCTTTGGGACACTTTTTAGGTAGTCCCAGAGACTATAGAGGGAAAGGCCCCATGTTTTCCAGGGTCAGCAAGCAGCTGTGAGAGCATGCATCCTGTGGGAACCTACCCATCTATGGGAGTTTCAGGGCTGTGATCATTGACACCCTTCTGTGGGACATAGGAATTGGGATGGCCTTGGGCCCTGAACCAAAGGGACCTCTCAGAGTGGAGGGGACAGGGGTGAGGGGAGGGAGGCAGGGTAAGGTGATTATACCTGCATCGAATCCAAGGTAGACTGCGGCAGGAAGGAAAGCACAGAGGAGAAGTTAGACCTTTAGTCCTGTAGGTCAATGCCCCAGAGGTGGGGAGAGGGAAAAAGAGGGAGACTCTAAGTGGACACCCTGGGCTGGCTGAGCAGCTCCTACATGAAAGAATGTGTTAGGGTGAAGGCAGCCTCTGGGTGGGTGGCAATGGGAGACTATGAGAGCACCCTCAGAAGCCCCTACCCCTTTCCTGAAAAGCAGGCCAATGATGAGGAGATTCCCCTCACCCCGGACCCTGGGGCCAACAACTCTACTATACTGCCCCCTCCACATGCACTTCTACACAGCCCCAGTCCATTATGGTTCTGTCTGAAGTCCCTCGCCTTCCTGCCGAGTATTGAAACTGGTGGCCACCTCCAGGGACCTACCTCCAGCAGTTGCACTGCCCCTTCATGTTCCCTCTTGGCTTCTGCCTGTGCCTATGGATAGAAAGAAACAAGATGCTGGAAGGGAAGGGTGGGGAATGGAGTGAGGAGAGGGAAGCGGAAGGAAGGAAGGGATAGTAGGAAGAACAAAGGGAGGGAAGAGGGGAAAAAAAGAAAAGGGTAGGGGCTGGGAAGGTGGCTCAGTGGTAGAGCGCTTGCCTTGCACGCCTGAGGCCCTGGGTTCGATTCCTCAGCACCACATAAGCAAAAAGAAAGAAAGCCAGAAGTGGCGCTGTGGCTCAAGGGGTAGAGCGCTAGCCTTGAGCTGAAGAGCTGAGGGACAGCGCCCAGGCCTAGAGTTCAGGCCCCACGACCGGACTCCCCCCCCAAAAAAAGAGAGAGAGAGAGAGAAGGGTAGGGGAAAAAATGGAGAAGGGAGTCTGGGGGGGGAGGGGGACTAGGGGAATTCTCCCTCCTGAATTCTCACCCTGAACCATCCCTTAGACTAGAGGCAGAGAAGTTAAGAAGAGATGGGGACTGGGCACCGGTGGCTCATGCCTGTAATCCTAGCTACTCAGGAAGCTGAGATCTGAGGATCACGGTTCAAAGCCAGCCCCGGTAGGAAAGTCGTTGAGACTCTTATCTCCAATAAACTACCAGAAAACTGGAAATGGTGCTGTGGCTCAAGTGGTAGAGTGCTAACTTTGAGCTGAAGAGCTGAGGGAGAATGCCCAGGCCCAGAGTTTAAGCCCCACAACAGAAGAAGAAGAAGGAGGAGGAGGAGGAGGAGGAGGAAGAGGAGGAGGAGGAGGAGGAAGAAGAGGGGGAGGAGGGGGAGGAGAGGGGGGAGGACAGGGGGAGGACGGGGGGGAGGAGGGGGAGAGGAGGAGAAAGAAGAAGAATTAGAATTAGAAGAAGGAGGAGAAGGAGGAGGAGGAGGGAGAGGAGGAGGAGGAGGAAAAGGAGAGGAGGAGGAGGAGGAGGAGGAGGAGGAGGAGGAGGAGGAGGAGGAAGAAGAAGAAGAAGAAGAAGAAGAAGAAGAAGAAGAAGAAGAAGAAGAAGAAGAAGAAGAAGAAGAAGAAGAAGAAGAAGAAGAAGAAGAGGAAGAGGAAGAGGAAGAGGAAGAGGAAGAGGAAGAAGAAGAAGAAGAAGAAGTCATCCACTCTCCTGGCTGCCCTCCTATCTACCCATGCTCCTTCTCAGCCTCTTTCCCTCTGCCTCATCTTCTACCCATTGGAATGTCAGGGTATCCTTGAATATAGTGCTGGATCAGTTCATACTCTGCTCTATCCTAGGCACCCAGCTGAACACCTGGATGATTCCAAGCATCTCCAAGGCCAATTTCCCCATAGCTGCAAGCTCTGGTACCCAACAGCCTGTGGACATCTCCTCTCAGGTGTTTAGCATACAACCCACATGTGCCAAGACTAAACTCAGAACTCAAGATTCCTCCTTCACCTAGGGGGTGAAAATCCCCTCCCTCCCTCCTCCACCTCATCGCAGAGGGGCTACCAAGTAGGGATTGAACTGCAATCCCATAGTGAGTCTTGTCAAGTCTGCAATTCTGCCTCTAAACTATAGTTCAAAGCTCTCCACTTGTTTCCATCGACATTGTCACTTGTATAACTGCTCATGAGGCAGAACACCCAATTTTCTCATGGCCTTCATGACCTGACCCTGCCACCCTGACCATCTCGTTCTCTGTTCTAACCGCACTGGTTTTCCTTGCCATAGAGCATCTACACAGCTATTCTCTTTTCCTGACATGTTTGCTAGATAGGTGCATAGCAAATCTGGGGTCCAGCAGCCTACTACCTTCCCTCACACCTGCACCCACCTGCTGCAGCCTCCTGACCTCCTCCTGCTTCTCCCGCAGGCTGAGCCGGGCCTGCTCATGCTCCACCTCCAGCTGCTGCCGCCGCTGGGCCACTTCCCGCATATGCTGAAATAGAAGACCGGATCTGGGTCAAAGCCAGATACCCCACCCCTCCATCCCACTTCACCATCTCCATAGAAGAGTTAAGATGAAAGAGTTTCAACTGTCATCTGTTCCAGATGTCCTCTATTAAAAAGAACATTGAAGCTGAACACCGAAGGTTGGCAGGGCCAAGACTGAACCTCAGACTCCAGTGCCCTACATTAGGGCATAGCCTACTGTCCCACTTTCCCTTGGTGCCAGAGCTCAATACTTTCCCCGCCACCTTCACAGTCTCCTTACCTTCAGCACCTGCTCCAGGCTCTCCAGCTTGCTCTGCAGGCCCTGGCTCTTCCGAAGGGCTGAGTCCCTCTCCTGCGTCAACCCTAGAAGCCGGCCTCTCAGCTCTGCATTCTCCCACTCCACCTGGTAAAGGGCCATGGGCAGGGTGCCAGATTGTCCTTCTTGGAGGGGCAACAGCACCCTTCAAATTCCACCCCAAAAAGTAGGCCCTTGCCCAGGAGCAGGTTCTCCTCCAGCAGCAGGACAGAGCCATACCTGCTCCTTCTGTGTGGCTCTCCCACTGAGCCGGGAGTTCTCCTCCACGAGGCGTGCATTCTCATTCTGGGCTTCTCTTAGCTGCAGTTCCTGGGGGGCACAGAAGCTCTGGGGAGGGGCCCAGCACCCATATATTCCTCTTCTGCTTACATGGAGAGCCAGTCAAGACATGGCCTTCCTCCCTGTTGGAAACCTGCCTCACCCAGGAAAGGAAAGCACCATGGAACCGCAAGGAAAAGGGGTTCCAGAGGCCACCAGGAGCCCACCACTTGGAAGGCCTCAGGGAAGGGGGAGCTGATCCCTGGGCATCCTCAAGAGCTCACCAACTCTTCACATCGCCTCTGCTTTTTCCGGGCTTCCTGCTCCAGGCTCTCACATTTCTTCCGCTTCTTGCTCAGCTCAGACTCCTGTGGGGTCAGAACAAGTACTTCTCATGGGGGAAGGAAAGCAGAGGTGCCCATGGCAGGTCACCTCCAGCCCTGCACCTGGGACTTACAAGCTGCTGCACCTTCTGCTGTTTCTCTGGCTCCTCTAGGATCCCAGGTGGACTGTCCACATCCTCCTGGAGCGTGGCCTGGAAATGTCCAGAGGCAAGTGGCTGGTACCTGAGCGCAGGGGCCCCGGGCAGCTTGCCCTTAGCCTTGTCCCCTGGGATGTTCCCACCTCATGGGTGGTCAACAGTAAGATTTTTGGGGGGAGGGGGCCTAGGAAGAAGAGGGGTGTTGTGTAGGCACACCCTCCCAACATCTCCAGCTGATGTGTAAATACAGAGATCACATCCCTGCCCCCCCCCCCCCCCAGCCATAAGTGCTTTGAAATCTAGCCTGCCACGTGTGCCCTGGGAGATGGGTCCTTTTAACCAGGCCAAAGCATTCCCTTTTTAGCTTTCCAGCAGCTGCCCTGCTCTGCACTCAATAACTGTCCCCAGTGTCCTTCAGCCATTGGCAGAGATTTAGGAGGCTGTTTGGGCCCTTGGGAATGTGATGTTCCCAGAGCTGGGGGGGGGGGGGGGGGGGTCTAGATCATTCAAACCTGAGCTTGGCCTAGAGTAGTGCAATCTTGCCAAACCTCCCAGTATCTATCCCATCCCACCCCACCCCCAAAGCCCACCCTATTGCAACTCCCAATTCATCTCTGCAAACTTTGGGGAAGGAAAGATCTTGATGGGAGAAGCATCCTCCTCCAGGGGCCCAGCCAGAGGGGCACAATCTGAGCAAGCCGTGTCCCATCTGGAGGTTTTCCTCACTACCAGGGCCGCCCTCTCACCTGTCTTCCCAGAAGGAGGTGGGTCTAACCGCTGCCCACCTAGGATGGTGGAGATCCCTACATTATAGGGGTTCCTGAGTGGGTCCCTGGCCTTCAGGGATGGTTTAAGCCCTGCGCTCAATGAAGATCGCCCGTACCTGGAGCCCGGTGGGACTCTCACCGCCACCCCCCCGGGTAGCCAGGCCAGGCCTGGCGGGCCAGGCGGGTGCTGAAGGGGGCGTCCCCGCTCTACGGCGGCGGCGGCGGCGGCGGGAGGCGGCGGGAGGCGGCGGCGGGAGGAGGCGGCGCGGGCTGGGCCCCGGGCGGCTGCCAGGGCAACCAGGGATTTGCGGCCGGGCGGTACCACTGGCGGCGCGGCAGGGGCGGCCGGGCTAGGGCTCGGGCTCGCGGAGGGTGGAACCCCAGAATCCCCAGGGCGGGCAGCGCGCGCGGTGCAGGTAGGAGCACCGGAGGCCCCCGGATCCCGGTTCTAAGGGCTCCCGGATCCCTGGGAGTGCACGCGTCACCACAAGGTCTGGCTGTGAGCGCAGGGCCGGGGGGAGATCCCGCTCCGGGTCGACCCTCACCCCTCTTGCGCGTAGACGCACACACACCTGGCCCTGCGCTCACCTCTCCCGGGGCTCCCGGGGCCGGAGCCCCTGCTCTGGCCGTGGAGCCTGGGGGCCGGGCCGGTGGGGGCGGCTCCTGCTGGTTGCGCAGGGCGATTTGTCTCTGCAGCCGCAGCACCTCCCGCTGGGACTCACGCAGCAGCCGGTCGAAGTCCCGCACGTGAAGCCACTGGGGACCCTCCTGGGGTGGAGCAACCAGGAGAGGACTTAGACCTCACTTTTGCCTGCCCCTTCCCCAGCCATGCCCACTCTCCACTTTACGGGAGGCGGAGAGGGGTGGGCATTACTTTCATGCATCACATGCCCGGCCCTGGGTACTTGTGTACACAGCCACATGTCTCAGTGCAGACATTCCCGGCTACCCATTTAGTAGGCACCTGCCTGCTGGTGCGGCACGGTGGCGCACATTGTACTAAATGCCTGTCAACATTCCTTCACACCAATGGTGAGGTATGTGCAGACTGATCCCGCCGGCCCCAACTGGCTCACAGTCTCAAACCTGGAGCACAGAAATGTCCAGGTCTGAGACTCATGGCTCCGCCCCCATTCGGTTTAGTCTCCTTTTCCCTTCTCCCTCCCCCCTGGGCGGTTGCCAGGGGAACCTACTCCCCAGCATCCTCCACCTTACCCTTTCATTTGCATCTCATTAACATCTGGTCCACAGCCCACGCCACAGCCAGACAGCCCTAGGTAGGGCTGCGCTGGAAGGAGAGACCAGAGCCTTCTCGCACCTTGCCCACTAAAGTGAGCCTGGCCTGCAGCTCCCTGCACTCCCTCTGCAAGGCGGCAATCTGCTTGTCCTTGGCCAGCAGGGCACTGGCTGTCTCACTGAGGTCCTGGGCGCGCTGGCGGGCTAGGGCTTTCTGGCACAACTGCAGGCTGGCCCCAGGTCGGGGCAAAGGGGCATTCACCTAGCCAGAGGAAGGGTAAGGTCAGTGGTCACCTGAGGGTTGGAGCACACTTCCCACTCTTGGACACCTAATCTGGGATCTCAGAGGACCAGCTACCTCACTCAACCCCATCCCCAAGCAGAACTCCAAGGGTTAACTCCACTCCTCTTCGTTTAGACCCCAAAGATGCTGCTAATTCATGGCTGTCACTGTGATGGGTCTTTTCCCTGCCCCCACTCCTGCTCGACACCCTGAGATGAGCTCAGCAGGAGACTGCAGCCAGCAGGAGCATGTGGTAATCCAGAATTCTGCCCATCCTGCCCTCCTCGGGAGCCTCCCCATCCAGCCCTTCTGACCGGAGAACCTCTGCACTGGAGCTGTCCTGTAGCTCCAGACACCTGCCTCCTACCCCGGGCTTCTGGGTTTCTCCTTTCCTGACCTATGACTGCCAAACCTAGCCCTAAGTCCCAGCCTTAGTTGTCTTCTTCCCTGACCCCCCACCCCCCAAGCCTCCACCCAGCAGCCTCCTGGTCCTCACCACCCTCAGGTTGGTTTCCTGCAGCTTCCGGGCCCTCTCCTCCAGACGCTTGGCAATGACTGCCAGCTCGGCATTCTTCCGCTTCAGCCTCCGCACCTTCTCCTCCGTCTCGGGGAAACTGCTTTTTCTCTGACAAGGGGTCAGCCAAAATTGGAGCGTATAAGGAGCACCCCCACAGACCCAGTCCTACTGTCCAGGCCTTGGGCTAGAGCCAGGGCTCACAGTGGGGTCCTTGGCAACTCTTAGGCAAGGGTCTTGGGAATGCTGCTACCTCCATATGGAGAGATGTTCATGGGATGGAGAGGGCACTGAGACAGAGGCTCTAGTTGGGACTGGGACCCCATTCTCCAAGCCTCACCAGCATCTGGTTTTCCTCCTTAAGGATGGCACAGCGCTGCTGTAGCTCCCCCAGGGCCCTCAGCAGCTCCAGATTGGGCCTGTCCCTGAAGCCCATGTTCAGCTTGGCCTGGCATGGGAAAGAATCAAGTGCCTCAGAGACCCACCCAACCCATGTAGGAACATCTCCCCCTCCACAGCCTAAGGAGACATAGTGACGAGAAGGCTTTCTCCATGTCCCAGGCCTTCAGAAGGGTCACAGGAGCCAAGAAGAAGTGGCAGTCCCATCCTTCCTATCCTCAGTGACAGTCTGCACACACACACACACACACACACACACACACCCCACAGCCTGGAGCCTTCCTGATAGCCCCCCACTTTTCCTCCACCTGTTCTGTCCGTTTTTCTCCCCCTGGGCAATGCTAGTGAGAGCTTCCATTCCTTTCCAGACGCCCTGTGGCTTGAGAGTCCCCAGCTCTTCCCCAAAGTCCTGCTTCCTCCATCTTCACCAAAGGCTGATCACGCCCACCCTGTCTCAGCCCGGCACTGAGCCCCGTCCTGGAGCCTACTCCCTCTGGATTTCTGATTCTACCACACACCTCCACACCTCCAACATCCTCCAGACTCCAAAGACAGACAGAGATCCATGGATGACAGACAGAGGACAGACAAATGGAGGGAAAATGGAGATACTTTCCTGTGCATTGGGGAAAGGACAGACAGTCATAGAGACAGACAGTGACAAGCCAAGAGAAGTGGCAATGGGGTTTGAGATCTTATCTGGCAGAACCCCAGACCTCCTCAGCTTCATTACCTTAGGCAAAGCCCCCACCTCCTCATCCTCCAGCCTCTGACCGTGGTGTCCAGAACTCACCTCTTGCTGCCCAGACTCTGTTCCTTCAGGGTCAGAGCCCCCCAGAAGCCTGGGGCTCTGGGCTCCCTCAGGCTCAGAACTCTCCTCAGACCTCAGGTCTTTAACTGGTAGAGCTGTCGGAGTATCAGCAATGCTTGGCGCTACGTCTCCAGGTTCACCCCCCTGACCCAGAGTCCAGCTCTGCCAGGCGGGCAGTGCCCATAGCTCCATGGCCGCAGGGTCCCCAGGCCGCAGGATGCTTGTCAGTTGCTCCATGGAACTGCCAAGGGGGCCCAGGACCCAGGCCAGGGAACATCACCTGGGCAAGTAGGGGGACTGGCGAGGGTCATGCCAGGCCGGATCCTTTTCTCTGAGCTCTTGGCTTCACTAACGCTCCATCCGAGGTTGGCTGAAATCTTCCCCACCCACAAAGAAGGCGGCTGCTGCAGAAGGATTCGGGCTGCTGGAGCTGGAACTGGGGGTATGTGAGCTGTTTGCTCGTGGCTGTGTGTGTGTGTGTGTGTGTGTGTGTGTGTAGATGAGGTGTCCCTGTGGGGGTGGAAAGATTGTTCAGAGGCTACCAGCAGCAGTGTCTGGGCGAGGGGATGTGCGTGAGTCTCCGGATCGGGTCTGGTCCAGCTGGTAATGTTGTCTTGTGTGTATTTGGAGGACAGGTGCCCCCACTTGTGTGTGTAGGGGAGGGTGGTGATGTGTGTCAGTGTCTGTGCCCGTTTTGGAGTTACCAGTTGTTCCTGTGTGGGGGGGTGTCTGTATCTCAGGGCTGTGGCAGTGTATGATGCTGTTGCCGGCTGTATCTGTGTCAGTGTTGTGCAGCTGCATGTATTCGTGTTGGTGTGTGTTTGTTAGCACCTGGGAGTCTGGCCATCCATCATAACCTTTCGTCTGCCCAGGGTCCTCAGGAGCTGCTGGGGGTGATTCCCCAATCGTCCGCTACGATCCTTTATCTTCTGCTTCTCTAGCTGCCGTAGCTCAGTCGCTTGCTGGGAGGCCGGCTGGTCCTAAGGAGGTCTGGGTCGATGGGCGGCTTGCCTCATAGTCCCTGCCTTTGCTGGTCTTAGTGGGGGGACTGCAGGGGTCCCTTACAGTCCCGGAGCCCCGAGATGACACGGTGGGCACGGAGGAAGGCTGAGCCTTAGAAGAGGGGGGGGCCGGGGGAACAGAGGAGAGCCAGCCCTCCCTTCCCCCTCCCCTCCCGCCCACCAATAGGAAGTCTGCTGCCGGTTTCCATGGTGATGGCGCTGGACTGGTGGGTTGGACCGGCTGGTAGGGTCGGGACAGAGGGAAAGCAGGTTCCTTGGGGGATGCCAGCTTAGTGCACCCCAGAAAGCCTCCTCACCCCTGTCCCTACACGCCCTCACACCTCTCAGGGTACAGAGGCAAGCGGGGCTGGAGACAGCCTTCCCTTCCTAGGGGAGGGAGAAGCTGGGGAGGGTATGGCTAGGGAAAGAGGAGGAAAGACTAGTAAAGCTGGGATTTGAAATGAAACAAAGAGAAATAAAGAGGATGAAAATAGAAATATAGAAGTAAGAAGACAAAAGTAGAAGTTGAGAAAATTGCTTCAGCTTCCTGCTGGCAGACTGTATTTTAGGGGTATTCTGGTTGTCTCGTGGTCAGTGATGACCACGTGACCTGTGGGCTGGATTTGGCCCTGATTGTCAGTAAGTTCATTTTCTGTCTAGCCAGACTGGAACACCTGCTTCTTGGAATAAGGATAGAACCCACTCACTCAAGTCTCAGATTGTATGTGAACCTAGATGGAGCCCCTCTTCCTTTTGGGCCTGGATTCAGCTGACAGGCCAGTGTCTGCAAAGGTCAGGGGCCCTCGTGTGGTACCCCTGTGGAATAGCAGTAATAGCATTAAACCACAGCACGCCTGACTGGACTCCACCCTGGCTAGAGCTGACGGAACTAGGGGGAGGAGGACCTGAGCAGATGACATCTATACTTCCCTAAATTACAACGCCGACATGTGCCAATTTAAGCCAGGTACATATGCGTGCCATTGTGTGCATGTCTATGTGTAGTTTGCATTTGTAGCATGCATATATGGAAGGCATCTATTTCTGTGCATACATGTTGGGCACTGTACGTGTATACTGTTGTGTCTATCAATTGGGAATATACAGCATGTGTATGTGAAGCTATTAAGTTTATAAACTATACCAACAGCTACTCAGGAGCTGAGATGTGATCATGGAGCCTGAACTCTGGGAACTGTCCCTCAGCTCTTCAACTTAAGGCTAGCTCTTTTAGCACTTGAGCTACACTTCCACTTCTGGCTTTTTCTGCTTATGTGGTGTTAAGGAATCGAACCCAGGGCCTCATGCATGCAAGGCAAGCACTCTACCACGGAGCCACCTTCCCAGCCAGAGAGAACTGAGGTTGAATCCAGGTAGTAAAGTTTGAGAGACTCTTACCTCCAATTAATCACAGAAAAAGATGGAAGTGGTATTGTGGGTCAAATGGTAGAGCACCAGCCTTGAGCAAAAAGAGCTCAGGCACAGCTCTGGGGCCCTGAGTTCAAGCCCCAGGCCTGGTTGTTTTTTGTCAGTCATGGTGCCTGGTGACTGCCCTGAGCACTTCTGCTCAGTGCTACTTCCAGTTTTCTGGTTAATTGGTCTCTGGGACTCTCCTACCTGGGCTGGCAACTGCAAACCTTATATCTCAGACTCCTGAATAGTTAGGATTACAGGCACGAGCCACCTGCAAGCACCCAGCTCTAAGTATGTGTTTATACTAAGGTGCTCCATAAGTCAGGTTATGAATATAATGCTTCTTGGTCAATGTCACCCCTTCCTTTATATTCCCCTATTTCCCCCCTCCCACTCCCACCTTATTTTTTTTTTTGGTCGGTCGTGGGGCTTGAACTCTGGGCCTGGGCTCTGTCCCTCAGCTCTTCAGCTCAAGGCGAGCGCTCTACCACTTGAGCTACAGCACCACTTCCGGTTTTCTGGTGGTTTATTGGAGATAGGAGTCTCACGGTCTCTCCTGCCCGGGCTGGCTTTGAACCGAGATCCTCAGATCTCAGCCTCCTGAGTAGCTAGGATTACAGGCGTGAGCCACCAGCGCCCGGCCCACTCACACCTTCAAGTTTAAATTTTAAAAAATATTTTGGACCCAAGATCAGCTGTATCCACAGATGCAGCATCTAGAGGGAGTGCCAACTCCTGGTTCATAATGTGTATATTATGTTGGAAAGTGTCAGTGTGTTGGTGTCAGTATGCATCACTGTACATGTTATGTACGACTGAATTGTGTGAGCATATATCCATGTGCCATTGTGTGGTTTGCCAGCCATATGCCAATGTTACTTCATGCATGTTGCTGGAACACACGGGGGCCTGTAGAAATGCACATGTGCTTTGTACCTGTGCCCTTGTCTATCTATGTACAAGATACTGTGCACACTCAATGCTTTGTGGTTCTACCCAGTGCTGAGACAGTATTACCAAGGACCCCTACCATTTTCTTTTTGTTGGTTGTGGGGCCTGGGCGCTGTCCCTCAGCTCTTCAGCTCAAGGCTAGCGCTCTACTACTTAAGCCATAGCACCACTTCCAGCTTTTTCTGCTCATATGGTGCTGAGAAATCGAACCCAGGGCCTCGTGCATACAAGGCAAGCACTCTACCACTGAGCCACCTTCATAGCTCCGCCTACCATTTTCTTAGATTAAAATCTTCAGTTTGGCGTAGAGAGAGTGGGTGGTGGATAGGTTTGAAGCCCCTCACACTCCTCCCCCTTCCTTCTGAAGGCCAAGAAGTCCTTGCCTAGCAGCCCAGACCCCCTGAATCCTGAAACCACCCTCCTATAAGGCCACTCCTTTTTCTTCCTTGGGTGAATGAGGAACATTTCCTCTCACCTCATGTGTCCACAACACCCATCCATGTGCCTGCTGCTCCCACTCAACCCTCAACCCCAGCAACAGAGTCTCAGACAAGAGTATTGGAAGCCATTCTTTATTAGCGTGAGGACCCCAAGTACCTCCACCCACTCCCATCTACCCTCCCTCCCCCTCTGCCTGTCCCATCCCCCAGCCACTGCCCGACTCTCCCCACAACCTACTGGGCTTCGGGGAAGGAAGGCCAGTTTCCCCCACGTGTCAAGGACCCCAGAGGGGCAGCGCTGTGGGGGAGCTGTGGAGACCTTGCAGGATGGGAGATACGCTCACCTGTCTCACAGGTCCCGAGGCGCAAGATGGTGGCGAGTAGCAGCGGCGTGGCGTTGTCTCCGAAGCCCACAGTACACTCATCC